CTTTACAACTTTCGGGTGTTTCGCAAAATTGGCGTCTCTCAGACGTTGGTTCGGTTTGTTCGAATGAACCCAATCGATCTGGCTGGGAGCGATCGATGTCACTGAATATGTGTTGACCTTCTTCATCGTTCCGGATTGCCCTGTTTGTTTGTTTGTCTATTGATGTTGTTTGACCGAGCCGCTTGGCACAGTTGTTTTTCATTTCTGTCCCAGTTCCAGCCTCACCAGGGCAGCTGTTGCCGGTTCGCGTCAAACTGAACTCCAGTTTATAGTAATGTGTTTGTGTGTATGCGCCGGTATTTTCAATCATTTACCCGATTTTAGAGTGCAGTGGTGGTGTGTTGTGGTGTTGCAAAAAAGATTTCGTCTTCCGGTTTAGAATGAAAACATACCTTCGAATAAGCAAAGGTTCGTCGAAAAAGGGATAGCATGCTTGGAAAGGTTCCTTTCGCATGGATCCAGTCACTTTGATAACTATCTCCTGTTCGATCGGTCCATATTCACTTCGAGACTCGTGCAATGTTGCCATTGATCACTCCACTCACCCTTATGAACAACCACTCTACTAGCGGATGGGCAGGTGGATTCGAATCTGTTTCAAATATTTTTTGTTGCAAATCGGAGTCTGATGTTTGAATTGGGAAAAGTTCAATAAGCTCGGTGGGATTCGAACCCACACATGTGCAAAGGTATAGGTGGCTGTTTTGCGTGGGTTTGTATCCTACCGAGGCTGATGATTATTCAAGCGCAAGATTTGTTTTTGCATCAGGGCTAACTTTTAACGAATTCCGTCACAAACAGTGCTCATTGACCTATCGATCTTTCTCTTTTGTCGAGACATGTTTTTCACGTTGTGAATAGGGCACTTTGGAAGCTTAGGATTCCATTGACTCCATTGATAGTGAATTTCTGAAAACGGGTTCAGTCGACATAAATTTACACACGGACAACCAAAATAGATTTAATTAAAAAAAATGGGTAACTTTTCATACCTGGTCTGGTTGGCACGTGCGGAGAATTCTGTGGAATCTTCAACCCGATGCTGAAACTGTTCACGTATGAGATACTGTTTCGAATAATAAAACTGCCCGGTTCTTTGTCACGAAGCAGCGCGTTCACTGAAGGGAAGATGAAGAGAGAATGAATGGATGACTATGTTTCTTTTCCAACAGCGCATAAAACGAGAGATCAGTAAGGAATGGACAGGATCAAAACTGCGTACCTTCTTCCCTTGTCTTCTCCGGCAAATACCAATCCATGAACGTGTCTTTCACCTGCCGAAGCAGTCCCTGATCCGAGTCGACCAAGTCCACGTGCCCACTGACACCGCTCACACTGCCCGCGCGAGCAAACGAGCCCGGGTAGGTGGCATTTACTGTGTGATAGACAGACAGATAGACAGACGAAAACGAAGTGACGCAATGTTCACACAGCATATGTATTACTTATTATCATGTATTTTTTATTTTGTTCATAGTTTGAACAAATAACGGGTAAAGTTGAAATCATTAGTCATGGAAATAGTAAGACATGTGCGGTAGTTACGAGTATTGTATGATTTTGAGGGTGTAGGCAGCATTGCTCTTGAACAGCTGCAATAACACGTTGAATGTGGATATTATCAAGACTGATCAATTGGCATTGCACTCGACTGACAACGACCAGCAACAGAGAGACAACCTTTGTCTATGTTACACAGGTGACTGAACTCAGTATTGTATGTAGCTGATCTATGATAAACTGTTAGGATTATTAGAAATAGCGTGGAAATAATACACGCGACTCGTTTGTGTTCTTTACTGACCTTTACTCACCAATTAATCGAACAGATAAAGCGACACGAGTCTGTAACCATTCCATGGGAATACGAGATGTGATCTAGGTTAAAAGTATGGTCTGATAAAGGGGCGACCGGAAACGCGTCGAGCGAGGTTTACGAATTCAAAGAAGGTATATTTCTTTCAATGACTACATAATTCCATTACTCTGTGCACATTGGAACAGTGTCGTCTGATTATAATGTAAGACATTCTAATGTGTGTGTTCGAANGGGGGGGGGGGTAAACTTCAAGTTTATATTCCAAGTTGTCGATGAGAGGCAAACGGTGAGATTGGAGTGTTGTGGGGCTGACTGAATACTTTTGGAATCTTTTCACCAATTCATTAAACAAGTGTCATTGTGAATGAGAATCTAATTTTCGAATGCTATCCAAATTTGTCTTGGTTTGGAAAGCACTACCAATACAATATACCAATAAGCCAAACGGTGCACGTCATTTTGGAGCTCAGATACACGTGTTTCCTTTGGGGACCAGGGGTGGGGGTGGGGGGGGGGNATCCCAACTACGACTAGAATAGAGTCGATAGGTCATGTTTGATCAGTACTGCCGTGATATAAAACTGGAATGTCTTTTTTTTCTCTCTCCTCATATTCCATTCAACCGTGTTCCGCTCGCTCTCCGAAAAGCATGCATCTCCCCACCTCAAGCGTTACGAAACTGAATACACAATCTGAACTGGGTGTTCACTTACATGAATCCGTTCCACGCCAATGAGTCTCTGATTGCTTGTTCACGACCCGGTAGCGAGAGTCCACTCCACGATTTGTGTTCTCGTAGAATGTGTTCTGATGCGTTCCGCTGGCGAGGGATATCGGGAGGTTGGACAAAAAAGACGCAAAAATTGGGACATGTCGCACTAGACTGTTCTCGAAATATGATTTCCATTCGGGTTCCCAGTTTTACTCTTTCCACAAAGCCCCGGGGGAACGATCAACAAGTGCTCATTTGGTGTGCTCATTCTTTATTTCTAGCTACAGTAAATATATTAGTCTCAAACTTTATATGATGAATGAAGTGCTGGTGGGAGCAGTGAAAAATTCAGGGACTATCAGCAGTAGACGAAGAACACATTACGACGGCTCTAGGGGGAATTTGAACAATCAGTAATTAGGCTGATTTGTTAGCGACCTTGATCCTCCCCTCCGCACCGTAAAGCATCAACCAGAAAAGCCAAAACGAAACATTTCATCATCAGTGAATGATCTCTTAAAATGGATGGGCAACTACCAAAATTCCTCACACTTTATGCAGTTGAATATGGGGCTATGTATGCATTTTGACGTGCTTGACTGGCTTCCAGTACAATTCAACGGATGCAAACAATGTTTGAACCACGGGTCTGGTGCCTGAAGCATCCCCGGGTCTTGAATATGGGGGGGGGGGGGACGGGCGACCGAATCTATGACTCGCGGACTCAGGTTTACTGGGTAAACAGTCACAAGTGGTAGTGCAAGAGGATGCCGTAGGTTTTCAATCGGCCCCCCTGTACCGATCTCAAAGATCTAACCTTGATACTGTGATGTCAGTGATAAACTAAACTGTCAGCCACTTGCTTGTATGGAATAAGCAAGCTATTTGGCGGGTCTTACACTATTATTTTATCTTTCATTCAGAGTGCATTCAAAAATTCGGTCTACTCGTGAAACTTTGAGGGAATCAAGCCAGTGAACTAAGTATAACTTTCCCAACTACGCCCATTGACAATAGTCAACCAGCATGGTTTGTGTTTTCCCAGAAAATCGTGAAATACGAGGGGAATGATCGAATTCCAAATAACCACCAATCGGGATCAATATTTTCATGTTAAATCAAGCCTCTGAAAACTATTCAACACAATGTTCGTCAGCTAGTGAGCCGCACTTCACGGACAGAATACACGTACCACAAACAGGAGACCATTGTACGATTAAGGATTCGCTTTTCCTTTGTTCATTCAAAATCCCGGCTGTTTTTTCATCCACTCCAGAAAGCGGACTCGACATTTGTTGTAACTCTTAGTGACACCAGTGCACGGAGTCATTTGGAAAAATCTAACTAACTTATATCAGTTAAATTGAAACCTCTCATTCGGTCGCTTCTCACACGGGAGTTTATGCTAAACTGCGTGACCTTATGTATTGCGTTCTTAAAGCGATACGTATCTATCAGTGATTGTCATTACGAAAACCCGGAACGTTCATGCTATACGATATGGATTGATCGTTCGATAAAATGGTCCTAATAGTAGAGCAGTAGGCGTTCTAGATCGATAGAAATAAAGTGTTCCGCACTGCTGGAATGTCTTTCGAACACAGTGCTCCGTTTCAGGAACTATTATGGTTCAGATTCTTGACGGCACGGATCTCTGTAATTTGATCTGGGTGTGTATGAATTTTTTAGTTCATAGAAAAAGAATTCAACTGAATCGATCACGTGATGTTGATGCTGATGTGAAGGAGGGATGAAAAAAGAGCGAGAATAAAGGCAATCAGTGAACCTGTCAAATTTATCTTTGTTTGTCTACAATCAAGAGTCATTTCTGTTCAAGTGTGTTATCTAACGACTAGTAAAGTATTTTCTATATATTTATTGACTTTTAGTCAGTCAGACATTGGGATCCCAGTTACCTCACACATTCAAACTTACGCGTACGGTGATGCGGCACCCGAGGTATGCACTTCCCGATGCAAATTTGTGGTCGCAATCGTACGATATCCGTCCGATTGATCCGGTCCCGGTGTGAATGCCAGGGAAGCTGTGAAAAATATTGAATGCGAATGGACAAGTTAGTTAGTTCACTACTCATAACTGATTTGTTGGTGCTTGCGAGTAATCAAGTCATATGGGCATCCCATTCGCTTGGGGAGGGGAGCTGAGGCGGCGGTGGCTGTACTCGGAGTGAGATACATTCGATATTTCTGAAAAACCGGCTGCAATACACCACTGCTGATATGACATTCATTCTGGGGTTGGAGTGGGTGAAATCAATTAGTGAATAAACACCGGTGATAACTGGTTGTTAGTATAATGATGGAAGCATATGCGTTCAGATGTCTTCGCGTGAGGATTAATTTTTATGGGCAAGATTTGGTGGTTATATGGTGATGAAAACTGCCGGGGAAAAAGTACTCCTTGAAAAATAAGCCAAGACCGTAAACCCAATTTTTAAACACCAGATCTCGTCTAGCTTTGCGGTGGTTGTTGTTGTTGCTGTTGGCATCGTTTGGAACCTGCGAACCTGACCAATNTGCGAACAATACTGGCAGGAATGCTACCACCCGATTGAATACACCGATGATAATCGCGAGAATGGGCAGCGGATAGTTGCAGCGTCAGCAGCGGATGTGTGCGTGCGCAAATGTGTGTGTGTGTGTGCGTGAGCATGAGAAGCATCGCAAGTCCAAGCATGGGACAAGCGAGTAAGCTCGTGCGTGCATGTGTGTGTGTGTGTGTGTGTGGCCCACATCGAAACTCGTACCGTATCGGGAGTTTATCGAATTTTCCCGGTAATTCGTTCGACCATCTTGTGACATGGGACTGACCAACTCTCTGGTCGGTGTTGCATTCGTACGGCTCGCACGGATAGAGTTATGAAACCCGGGTGATAGTGGACGCCGTGTCTGCGGTGTGGAGTTAGGCGCGGGACGCGTGAATTGGCCATGATAGATCGAACCGAGCCGATCGTTGACGCGTTGAAAACTGAAATGTCTGGACGAATGAACATCGTGCTCGCTTGATATACTGCCCAAACGACTACGATTGGGCATAACAACCGTCCCCAGGGTCGGTTGTGGTGAGGCGAGTATGCTGTTCGAGTCGAGACGAGCATTAGCAGCCTCATAGTAAGCCTGAGACATATCAGATCTAAATTGACGTCGAGGCCCCGGAGAATAGGGATAGATTCGTGCAGCGGATGAATGAGGACGGGAAATGAGAGGCGAATTCGGACCAACAATGGTTCCTGGAATGAAAGATTCAGGTGACATGCAAACAGTGTAGTGACGAAACGTGCGGCAGAATGGACGATTTGAGAGTATCAATGTACTCAGAGGACAATGCACATATATATATATATATAGAGAGAGAGAACTCAAACCCCCTCGATGCTCCAGATCGTTTCCTGTGCGGAAACTATCAAAATGTGGGCAGTTATTGGTCGGCGACAACAAGCAATGGAGAAAGAATGTATGCATGTGTATGTGACTATGCTGATGTGAACGTTCGGGTAGATTGGGTTGTGTGAACCGCACATAGAAGAGAGGTTCCGTTGAAACTGAAATTACAAACTGAAATACTGGCCAATGAGAGCATTTCTAATGAACTGTTGATAAACGTAAAAAGTAATGACCTGGGTGATGTTGTGCGCGTATTTTCTTTCTGGATTGACGGAGTGGTCCCGGGTGAAGAACTTTCATCCGCAAATTGACGGAAAGTGTTTTCTCAAACTTTTTAAGATTTAAAATAAGGTTGCGAAGAAATTTTAGATTTATTTCAAAAGCACTAAGCAATACTGACGATGATAACATTTTAACCACTTCAGGAAAAACTTGATTTGGTACAAGGCTGCCGATTGAAATGATCGAATAACTGTTTCTGTTGGGTCGATAGGTGACTGAATGCGATTGAAGATGACATAAGAAACAAACTTGTGTCGGGGACTCTGAACAGTCGCAATGTGAGCTGTTGACACGTACGTCTTCCATGATAGCAGTCGGAGATTCGAACCCAGGATAGCTCAGTCAGTGTGCGTCACTGATGAACTCCGGTGACAGCTTTCTGAGAGTAATGATGATTAAACTGTCAGAATATCGTGTACTAGGACGAAGTTCAGAATATTGAAAGTCAAAATAGTCTGTCCTTCCTCTTTTATCCAATTAACACTATTTTTCAGGCTGTAACTTCTATTTTTTTTAAATGATTATTTTCAAACCATAATTCTCGATAATTAGTACAAAATTAATATTGTTTGATTTAAGGGGGGGTGGTAATGGATATTGGGCATCTGATAAAAGTAGCTGGCGAAGTTTTGTGTCCCTGAGGTATCGTCCATCTCTCTCTCTCTCCCCATTATTTGCCCAACTTTTTATTGTCTCCCAAATGCCGTGGCATGCCTTAACGGCCACAACTCGGGAAATCATTGGACAGATGGGCTAAAACAGGTTGAACGTAACCTGGGGTGTTGAACATCGGCATAACGGTACGTGGCATGCGAAGATAGGCATTTGCCCCTGAACGAGCAGCGCAGATCCACTGCCTGATCACAAAGGAAATCTGTCAATGCAGGAGAGATGCATTATTGCTGGGATTGGTCAATACCGATGCAATGAGACAAAGGAAAACCTAATGAGCCATCAGTAACCAGGACTCAACACCTTTGCTGCCTGACAGTTCACACTTGGTTGTGTAAAGGTTAGAGGTGCACTCTCGAAATGAAAAACAGGCGAGTGATAGTGGGAAGGTCTTTTCCAACAACCTCCCACGATATTTCATGATTATTCATCCAACAGGCCACTCTTAGCGAACTGAAGTTCTGCATTTGACTCACAATTACTTGTGAGTAGTGGTCCGGAGTTCAAAGCCCGGACGGGATATGCACTACTGATGAGCTCCAATAAGAGAAAAACTTGAGTCCTGTGCCTCGAAGTGTATGGTTGAATCAATGATCTGAGGATTGTGCGTGAAGGTGAAGTCCGAAGGATAGTCAGCTCAAATCAACAGAACTGGAGTTCGTTTGGAGGGTAGGGAATGGGTGTCACTCAAGCATGACGCACGTGTTCTGATGTATTTTACAACTAATTGAATACATTATCACAGGCTTCATTCTATGGTTGGGCTCTTTCTTGAGCTTTTTGTAAATGCGAAATTTCGGATTGTGGTACTCAAACACTTTTTAGATGTTGAGGGGAATCCAAAACTATTTCACACCAGTTCGTAATCAAAAGGATTTTACTAATGCGTATGTTTTGTTTGCTTCGACCTCTACTTTCAAGGTTACACACAGAATCGTGGATTGATAAGAAACTACCCGTGACCCGATGCGTACCTGTCGGAGTGTTGGCTCGATACGAACGTGCGATTGATCCAGTTGGTTCCAGATCGTGCACTCCACGACCGATCGGCTGCAAAGTGATTGTTTCCATCTCTTCCAGTACCTCTGTTCCTGCGGCCGACTTGGATTCTTCCAATTGACGAGTGGAAGCCTTTAATGGAGGGAAATTATCGATTATTGTCTGCTCGAGTATGTCAAAATGTAGTAGCCGGGTATAGTTATACGCACACAGACACATCAATCTTGCCTTCTCCCAACATGCTCTCCAGAAGAAAAAGCCAAACCCAGTTGAAGATGAGAGCATCTCTGAGCAAAGATCGATTTTATAGCACTATAATAGTTTACTGTTTTTTTCTTGGAGGGGGGGGGATAAAAGTCCAGAAACATAAACACACAACAAGAAACAATTCATCCACATTCCACGTAAACAAAAAGAGAACAAACTCTCCTGGGTCGTGAATCTCTGTTTACAGATCATCAACCTCATCGATGGGATACAAATGCTCAATATGTGAATTCAAAATTGTTCTCTTTCATTGAGGCCACGGGAACTGGCACGTACCTAATGATCCGTTCAAGGTACACAAAATTCGTGGCTTTGTATGAATTTTTATTACATTAATGATACCCAGTCACGTAGGGCAATGTGAATTGTGCAATACCCTAAGCGTGACAGTGAAGTTCTGTTATCAGATTTCATTACTTGTTATATCACACCGATATTCATTGTGTATGTAACCGAGGTATCATGAAGTATTTTTAATTATGACAAATATCTTCGCTACACTGTATTTAATTGCTGGTGTTGGAAGAAACCGCTCATTGCATCCTTTTGCGAACTACTCACAAATGTGAGTAGTACTTCATAACACCAGTTGAGCAACAAGTGGAATTATTGTACAGCGTCGTACGTAGAGATCTGTGCTATTTATTATCAATTGAACTTTTTTCTTTTTCTACTGAACATTTCACTCCATATTGTTTTGATATTGAAAACTGATTTAACAGGACCTTGACGATTTTACATTTTTGAAATCATCTTTATTGCGCAGTAGCTGTCGGACATATAGTCGGATGCAATGTGCTTCGACTTATCGAGTGCCGGAAATTCACGTGCCGTTCACATGTAATTTACGGTTCTTTTCGGTAATATCAAAAGTGAATATGGTCACGTCAAGCTAGTTGGGATCTTTATCTACCCCCATCCAGTTGACGCAAAACACTTCAAAACAAACAGGTGTTGGACATCCCACGTGTCATGTGACACCCAAATGGATGGGCTTTTTTGCGAATGTTTTCTTTTTGCTATGTGTATGTATGTGGGTAGATAACGTCTTTCAAGGATGCGGAAAACGAACGACAAGGGTTCGGAACGAGGACGCAGACGGAAGCAAGATGCTACTGTACTTTTCATTACCACAGTCACATGCCCATTAAGCCGATCTGGCTTGAATACCATCTCCATTGGTCCCTGTGTGCACGTCTATCACTCCATCTGTCTCTCATCCTGTTCGATTTTTTCCTGTGAACAGCAAGATGAGTGTTAGGAGCGGCAGCAGATCTCCGTCAAACGCATTTAACCGTTGATAACTAGAAGTAACGTCCGTATCCCGGCAGCAAGTTGGACCGCCACCATCACCACCACCACCACAATCAGTANCGCACCCGCCACCAAACCGTGCACGATGGGACGAGGTGCGCTTACCTGGGCGATATTAGCCTCGGGGCTGCACCCAACCTGTTTTACGCAAAAACTGTCCGATATTTGCACTGGATAACTACTCCACCAATCCACACATCCGTTTAGAGCCCATGTCGTAAGTAGTTTCGAGCAGATGCCGTCGTGTTCCAGCTAAAAAGCAGATGAACAATCTTTCGAGACCGAGCTGATTTTGGTGTTACTTTCTTATCAGGGTACAGATTTGGTAGCACTGTGTCAAACGAAGGACATTGACCAACCCGTTTTAGGAACCACTTTCATCCGGCTGTGTCGTTTTTTATCCTATTCCCCATTGGTAGATACACAGGTGACTGAGGTCGGAAAAAGAAAACTTTTTATCTGGTTCAGTCAAAGAAGCCGTTGATACGATTATCGCGTGGAATGTCCGCGACTAAATAAAATTCCCATTTCACCGATTGATTATTTATTTAGGTCATAAGTTATTTTTGCACAAATTCAAGTGGCTTAGTGGCTACTAACACTTGCTGTCTGCATTTAGCATCGAGCTGAGTTTGCCTTTGAAACACTATGAGATCGTTTAATGTGTATATTTATAATGATTATTTGCTATAGTAATATTTTTGCCGACATAATGACAAAAAATAAATAATAGTTAGTTAACAGTGTCAAATGTTTTGGGGGAACAGCAATCCGTATGCTCCGCTCGCTTTCTCAATTGGATATTAACAAGAGACATACCGGTTTGTCTCCTGTTCACATGCCTGCAATAGCNCCTTCAACACCAAACTGTGCTCTCTCTCTCTCACTCTCTCGCGTGCGCGCAGTTTCTCTCTCTCTCTGTCTGTCTCAGATTTAGGGAGGGGTCAGATTGAGAACGGATCAAACGCAAGCCTCCCCCTCCTCTCCGCTACCCCCGTTCTTTCGCCCTTTCGCATCCCATGCATTCTTGAACAGTTTCATCATAATCAGCGTGTTTTAACCCCCGTTCACAGTCACATACACGGTGCTGTGGGTCGTGAACAAAATATGCATGGCTGATGTGAAGTGATGTGATGTGATTTGAATGAGAGGTGCTACCTGGTTGAATGATATACGGGACAAATGAAAATATTAAGCAGTTTTGAGTTAAATTGAATTCTAGAGAAGGATCGATGCATTCTTTCACCAAAAACTGACCACCCATTGGCCCATTGACGACAAAAGGTGCAATCCAACAAATCGCTAAAACTGTGTGTACGGAAATTTGAAGATTTAGGAAAACCTTAGCGGGTAGTCACATATGAATTATTATCACTTTGAAATTCAAAACTGCATCATTCTTTATCCCGAAAGATAGATCATTGTTATTTTGTAAGAAAGGCTATTCTTTCCCGAGATATTGCATCAAATTTTCGAACTGGTAACCTCAATTCACCTTCACCATTACTTGGAACCAGAGAAACATTACAATAACTGCTAACATGGTATCCACTGGAAAGTTCCCATCAGTATACAAGTCACATATTTGGTTCAACACAGTTGAACTTCGGGGAATAGTCACCTCTGGTCTCCCTCATCATGACTGAATTGTTAGACTGAATTTGGCATAATGGATTGATGATGAAATCCCCACTATTTGGATTCTTCCAATGGTTTGTGACCTGCAAACGAAGAGTCCATTTTGACCGGCTTCTTTCATGAGGGATCATCTACAGGGCAGTACCGGTGAACTTTGACGTTCCATTAGGTTTCGCACGAAACTTTCTTCGTCACCATCAACAAAATATTATTCTCCGAAAACATTGATTCTGTCCATATTTTCGCTGATGATATCACCTTGCATCATTCTCTTTCTTATAACACTTCCCGTGTCCGCGATCGATCGTCATGGTTACTTGGGTGACCGGAAATCGAGTCGCTTACATGACGGTGAAAGCTTCCTGTGGGTTTGCATCTCGCACACGTAGTCCCTGATCCCCCCCACCCTGCATTCAATACATTTTAAGTTACCTGCACTTGAACTTGGGCAAAATTGTTCTCTTCTCTATAGTGATCTCCTCCTATGCGTTCAGGAGAATTCACCATGACATCTGAACTTCTCGCTGTTCACATTGCCCAAATACATTCCAGTCTGAAATAGCGGAATCGGGTTCTTCCTATTCTTTGACATCGTAATCGGTGCATAAAGTCATCCAGTTTTTTGCCGATTCGTATCGAACACCCACTACTCAATCACTATTCCGTCTCCTTCTTGTCCATTGACACCAAAGATTTCGCTCTTCACTTTAACTTTCTGATCTGGTCCACCATCCTTAGTGGTTTTATTCATTCACAAGGCCCAATCACAACTGGTCACACGGGTCACGATTACGAAAGAAAATCTCAATTAAATCATCTTTTATATTTCTCCCAAGAATCACGGAATAGTAACATCATTCGTCATTCTCTTTTAACCTTTGAAGGCAAAAATCAATCAGTTGAGTGCGTGTGTTTTTCTCTCGTTTACCCGGCTATTGTACCGCAGTCTTTGTGATCATGGATGGGGTTTATCGGTATATTTTCATATCTGTCATACGATTAAATCACAACATCAATTACACACATTGTGTGATTGCTGCGTGATAGGCACTTATTTTTCAAAACAGAAAATCCGACCACCTTGATAACTCTGTCGATCTAGAATAGCGCGTCACTGAATTTATTCGAGACCACAGAATGCAAAAATCCGGGGTAAACGACAATGATCGATATCCACAAGACAACTGGGGGTGATGCTGGTTGAAAGTATTAGGTCCGTTACATGAAAACACTTTAACACTTATTCACTCACTCACTCACTCAATCCATCAATCATTTATTACTTATTTAATGATCTCTTTCTTCAATCAATGACTTGATAACATTTATTTTAATGAACTATACACCCGCGCGATTCTATATGTACATAGAAATAACTGAGACAGACAGAAAGAGAGGAATTATTCGCCACAGCCCCGTAAGTCCTATTGATCTCACATCGTCGAGTTGTGTACTTAAGGGAAACTATTTGAATGCAAACATGCACGCCAGCGGTTTGAATGGAAATTGACTTTCCACAGTATCAAGGACCGTTCAAACAGGAGGTCAGGTCTACCACGTTGACACAAGCAACTGATTCGATCACTTGCGCGGGGTGCGGTGGGGTGGGGTGGGGTGTGGCGGCGTACATGTGATTGGCATTTTTTACAACATCCATAGAATATGATATTTTGGCACTGCCGGGTTAAAGCAGAATGAGCTAGCACTACACATATGTGTAACTAACTGAGCAAATCTTGTGCGTGTCTATTTGTTGAGCGACAAAAAAAAGCGCGAATAACTTGAACAATTGAGCTAAAATTGAGCATACCAAATCTG